TGAAAATGTCCAGTCTACTTTGTGTCCCTATGAATTTGCCTACTCTAGATTTTTCATATAAATGGAATCATGCGGTATTTGTTCTTTCGTGCCTGGTTTCTTTCACTGAACATGTTTTCAAGGTTCATCCATGTTGTAACATGGATTAGAACTTCGCTCCCTTTAGAGCTTAATAATATTCCATTGTACGGATATGCTGTGTTTTATGTGTCTATTCATCTGTTGATGGACACTTGGGTTATCTTCCCCTTTTGGCTCTTGTGACTAATGTGATGAACACAGGTGTACAAGTATTGGTCGAGTCCTTGTTTTCAATTCTTTTGGGTAGATACCCAAAAGTGGGATTGCTGGGTCATATGAAAATTCTGTTTCACGTTTTGAGGAACTGTCAGACTCCCATCTCTTTTTTAAAACCAGCTTTACCACAGTGTTGTTTCCCTCATCAATGAGTTCAATAAATCTTTGATATGTGATCAGTATATATTTCAATGAGTCATGTTTTTAACTCTTTGAAAACTACACTTTGATAACGGTGGGTTATTTAGTCTGCTAATATGTAAAGCATGAAGTTGATCCCTACTCCCCACTTGGGCTCCCTACAAGGAAGTCAAGGAAATGCGTAGAATTGAGGGCTCTCTTGCTTAACCCATGAGACCAGCATGGCATTGGGGTAGTTATAAAGACAGAGAATATTTTAATCCTGGTCCTGTGATAGTAATGGCACAGAAATCACGCAGGACGAGGCACGGACACAGGGCGTGTGCATCTTTATGTTCGCTGGGAACATATGGAGACTTTTCTCCTCTGGAACTGAGAGCAATTAGTGGTTCTTGACAGTGTGATAGCGTCTGCTGGGAAAACTCTAGACAAAAGCTCCACTCTAGGTGAACTCTGAGACCAGGCAACCTGCAGTGGAACCCGTTGGGAGAAATGCTAGAATTCTTTCTGTACAGCCTCAGAATTTGCCTTCATTCATTGGCACTTGACAGGAAACTTTCTGGGCAGGGAATGAAGAAAACAAAGAGACTTAGCCTGGAGTTTGAGGAGGAGGGTGGGCACAAAGGTGGGCAGAGGGTACAGCCTAGGGGTGGTAGAGAGGGAACAAGACAGATTTTTAGTTGCCTCTAAGTGGCATTTTATTCAGACTATACGACCCCTGCCCCCAAATCTCCTAGAGTATTCATTGAGTATAAAAGAAGTATTCTTGGTCTCATACATTTTTTATGTCTCAAACCATGAAAGTTTTGCCTTTGAAGTAAGGCTGAAATGGTAAAACAAAAACATGTTTCCCCCCTCACAGCTCAAAAGGAACTAACAGGATTTTGATCACAATTTTCTCACTTTTGAGACAAGCTCTGAAAGAACAGATGAGTGTAATGGAAGAATTTCACAGGTGGTTAAGAATGTGTAGGAAAAAAACAGAATAAAGAAGAATGTCACTGTTATAAATATGATCAGAATATATCTATTTCTGAAAGAAAACCAGGCAGGTTAAGAAACTAAAGGTAAAAACCTACTTGCTTATTCAACCCTTATTTTTCTCCCTCACAGGGCTGCGACAGGATGACACACATGTAAGAAGTGCTTTGCAAACTGCAAAGGACTGCCCATAGCTTTGACAGGGGCTGGGTGATGTAGAGAGAGGGCAGGGAGTATGAGATCTGATGGTGCCACCAACTCTTGACAGCCACACCCTGCCCTCCAAACTGCTATTTTCTTGTCCCTGCCTCTCCAACACTAAAGCCCCAGGGTGTCTGACCAGGCCCCTGTGGTAGACACTTCATCTTTTCCTTGATATAAACTTTTTTGCCTAAATAAATTTATCTTAAAATACATTATATATGGTAACAAAAAAACAAACCAAAACAAAACAAAAGAAGTATCATTTGCCAGAAATAGAAAGTAACTGTAAAAAAAAATAGAATGGAAAGAGAGTAATTGAGTTCTCTGTGGATATCGTTGTCTGTCTGTCAGTGTCTTTGAGCCTGAGGCCTGCTCTAACTCTGTTCCAAAAGATTAGCAAGCATTACAGAGGTTGAAGAATAGCACCATGCTGAGACTTTCTCCTTGATACAATCTGGAAAGCTGGAAGGAGAAGGAAGCGAGAACCATTTTCTCACCATGTAATTCAATGTTCTTTAAAGCTGCACCATGTACCATTAAGATCACCTTGGAGTTCCTCTCCTTGCTATCCCGCTGACTGTGAAAGCACTTGGTAAACAATAAAGTGCCCTACAAACGTGGTGCTCATTACCACTCTGTCGCTTTGTCCATTGGCTCAGGGGCAGTCACTTCCATGTAATGGCCCCTTCGTTGGCTCAGCGAAGTTTCTAAACCAGTGCCTGTGGCGACCGTCATGCCCCACATTGTGGTGGAGAAAGCAGCTAGGGTAGGTTGGGGAGGGGGGCGGCAACCTGGGAATCCCAGGCTCCTAGAACTGGGAGGGCCCTTACAGAGTATCTTATCTTCCCGCTGGGACGNNNNCGGGACTGATTTGTCCAAGGGCACAGAGGGTGTTAGCGTCATTAGCAGGGTAGGGACCGACAGACAAAAAAGAAGAGTAGAGCTTATTGTGTGAGGCTCCTGGTCATCATAGTAGCTGCCATCTGTGAGGCAGAAGAGGATAGGATGCGGGAGCAGAGGTGAGAAGAAGTCAGTCCATCAGGCCTGAGAGCACAGGGCTGGACTCCTCAGCCAGGGGCAGAGATTGAGGTGGGCCTGGGCCCTTGGTGCTGCTGGGCCATGAGGAAAGAGCCTGAGAGGGGCTGACGTGTTTGCAAAAGGTACCCAAAGAAGGGAGGGAGGGCAGTTCAACAGAACTGCTTCAAAGGCCAGTGCCAACTCAGCCAGTCCTGGGACTGTGCAAAGCAATTTGGCTTTGGGTTTGGCAGACCTGGGTTCAGTCCCGGTTCTGTCACACTCTAGCTGTGTGTGACTTTGGGTAAGTCAACTGCTCTGAGCCCCAGTGTCCTCACTGGAGTATGATGTAGGTAATAATACTACCCACATCCTAGGATTGTTGGGAGGGTCAGAGGAGGCAGGATGTGCACAGCTTCACATACAGGGCCTGGCATGTTACTTAGCGTGACTTCCTCTCCAGCTCCTAGACCTCTGATGACACATTCTCTTCTCTCCTGGCTCCCTCTCCTAGCCCAGACTGGCAGCCAACACCTCCCGGCCCTGTCCCCTGTCCTATTCTTGTGCTCACCAGGCAGTGGGGCTCATAAGAAAGCTGAGGGGGCATATTCTAGGGGATGGGACCCAGGGCCCTCACATAGGGACAGAGGGGAGGGTGGGTGCTCTGGGGCAGAGGGCTGTCCAAGCTGCGGGCACCATCCCCTTGGAGGGAGAGGCCACTTTGGCCTCTGAGAGAACAAAGAAAAGGCTCTGGTCTCCTGTGGCGCTAGGAGGCAGTGCCTGAAGCAGTCCCTTCATCAAAGGCCACCAGGCGGAAGGTTAAATATAGCCCTTTCCAGTTGTCTCGGACATAGATTTATGAAATGTCAGAGCTGTGTTAGAGTGAGAAACGGTGTTACCGCTGCTGTTTTTAGAGAGTAAAAAGGACGCAGTGAAGAAAGAAGAGAAATCTGGACTGTTCCCAACGGGTGGTGGGCAGCCAGCAGAGGACTTTGAGCAGCTGGCTCTGTTATGAAAGTCTTGCTCTGGCTGGAGAGGTGCAAAAGTGGGAGCAGGGAGCCCAGGAGGAGGGAGAGATGGGGGTGCTGGCCCAGGGTTGTAGCTGTGGAGGTGGAAGGAGGGAGCCGACTGCAGGATGGGGCTGGGACTGCATTCCTGCTGAGGACGGCGCTTCCTCCCTCACGCCACCTCCTCACAAGAGGTGGGCCAGGCCCCCACTGGCCCTTGTCTTCTCAAGGGCTTGCCCCGTGACTGTGGGGACAGCAAGGAGCCGAAAGACACCCAGGCCCCTCATTCCTTTTCAAGGCAGCCCTAGACAGTCTATTACAAAGTTCCTCCTTGTCCATGGGCCTCAGCTGTACCACCTGAGACCCCACACCCCATCTATCCCCTTCATCCTGTGACAGCTCCTTAAAGACCTGAAGACCAAAGACCAGGTTCCTCTGACCCTTCTCCATGCCAAACAGCACGTGATTGTCATTGTACTTACTTCTCAGACCCATCACTCTGCTGTTGAAACTCCTCTAGCTCATAAACTCCTTTCCAGCCTAGTCCGGCCACAAAGGACCAAGTAGAGCCCCAGAGACACAGCATGGACTCCAGCTATGTCCGCAGCCCTCACTGTAGCTTCCAGCACATGTTCAAGGGCACTAACTGCAGTGTCAACCCCACCCCACCCTGGCCATCCTCACCATGTAAGCCAGCGATGCGTTCCTGGTGTGGCTCAGGACCCTGAACCTGATTCTACCCTAACTGCCAGGAGGTCTGGCTTCAGGTGCGGTTAGAAAGCACTTGGTCCCTTGGTAGTAACCTATGTGGACAGATGACCAGTGACAGGTGTCCCTTTCTTGCTCCTCCCTGCCTCCATGCTTCGGTGTTACAAAACACACAGACACACACCCCAGCATTTTAGCAGAAGTCCAGGAGGTGCGTAAACCCCAAGATTGACTGACATGGTGTTTTCCAGCATCTAAGTGACAGGGCCTCAGAGGCCATGTTAAGTCGATTTACAGAAAATAAGAGATACCGCACTTCTTAAACACACACACTTATAATCCCTCAGTCACTTTCATTATCCATTTAGAATTCCAGCTTATGAGGGTTGGGATGTAATCACATCCACCCTCTTCTCCCTCAGAGCCACCCGATTTTGAATTCCTTTCATAGCACCTCTGCTAAGTGGCCCACCTTCCCCTCCTTGCAGACCTCTAGTACTGGGGAACCCGCTGTCTCACCCCCACCCCCCAGATGGCACAGGCTGGCTCAAGAGGGCTCTGTGTAGAAAACCCCTCCCCTCAACAGGCCGCAGTTCCTTCCCTCGTCCCCTCTGCTGAGCGAGCGACCCTCCTCCCCCAACGACTCACCTCCCCGGTTCCAGAAGATGGTGACAGCCTCTGCTCGCTCCATCCTAGCCATGTGGATGGCCAAGACGCCACATCCAGCAGGTCGTCATGCAAGGAAGAAGCGTGTGCTGGACCCACACCAGGGGCAGGGAGCTGATGGGCTCTGTGCTGCTCTGAAGCCCGTCCCCAGGCTCCTCAGGGGCACCCAGGGACCCTTCCTGTCCCCGCCTCCTAACACCCTGGCTGGCTCAGTTTGGCCCCATTGGTCACATGATCTGTTGACCCGTGAACTTGTTCCTGGGCTGCCCAGCCCAGGGAAAATGAGGCAGGATTCCAAAAGTGACTTTCCTCTCTCGCCTTTCCCACTGCCCTCCACCTCCAGCACCCACGCACAGCCACACTGGTCCAGTTGGTCCCGTCACAGCAGGCCAGTGACGGGAGCTGTCTGAGCTGGTCTGGTCTTTCCTTAGGTAAGTTTCTCAGCCAAAGGCCCAAGTCAGAGCCCCGCAGAGGGCTGACCTCCCACTCAGCTGCTCTCTTGCAGCGAGGGGAAATGAGCAGGAACTGGCTGTCTGAGTCAGCGCCCCTGGCCTATTGTCACTGCGCAGGCCCCTTCCTTCCCAAAGGAGAGACGTGCACAGAGATAGGCCTTGTTTTTTACAAGTCCCTTGCACACACACACTTTCTCTCTTGGCCTGGACCGAGTCAGTGCTCTATGGCTGGATGCCATTCAATTTAGTTTCCCCCACTCTTAACGAGTGCCTACACCCCATAGAGGCCATCTCCCAGCATCCTCACCACAGAGGATCTAACGAGGCCAAGTCCCGGTCACAGGAGCAAACTGAGGCTCTGAGAGGGAAGTCTTGGGAAGCACTGTGAGAATAGTGAGGTTCGGAGTCCGGCGTTAGGCGGAGAAGCCTGCTGACCTCTCTCACTGCATTTCCCATGTCCAGCCCACCAGCATATTGCAGATTCTAGCAAAGTCTATTTCCCAGGACACAGAGCATGAATCACTGGCTTTAAAACATACCTTGTTCAAATTTGTTTCTGTGTTTTTAGAAGGACAAGGGCCCAGGAAACAAGTCATGTGTGCCAGAAGCCCTTTACAAAGGGCCTCCATGACCATACCGGCAAAACAAGCACAGGCTGAGGGACTGTGCCTTGGCCGTGACCCTCTTCTACTTGGAAGAGCGAAAGAGCCCGAGCAGGAGCTTTATTGTCCTTTCCATTGTTTTGTTTTGTTTTTTTGCCAGAGTCACAGGGAAGCAGCTTGAGGGAAGGAGTCAGGAGCCCCCTCCCCACAGAGGAAGCACCTTGCTGCCTCCAGGGCACCAAGTACCTCCTGTACAAGACAACTCCTGGAGGGCAGCGCTGTGGGTCTCTGTAGGCCCCATCTTCCCAACATATTTTTATGGCTACAAAAAGGCATTGAAAAAGGCTGAGGTGAAATTGCCAAAGGGAATGCGCCGTGTCCCCAAGGTTGGGAGAGCATAAGTGTCTAGGAGCAAGGACTGGTTGACGTGGTCCACTGCATTCAAGAATTTAAGTCGGCTGAGGCCCAAAGAGTGAGTGCTCTCTGTGGCGACACCAAGAGGGTAATCTTGGCCAGACTACAGCAGGCTATGTAGGGAAGTGGGAGGGCAGGGGAGACACCTCTCAGGAAGTCTGGCTGCGGTTAGACAGGAAAGAGATAAGCGCCATTGCTGGGGGCGAGGCAGACCTACGGCTGGCACTTAGACGTTTGTCAGGGTGGGGGAGATGCTTCCACAAAAACCGCCCTCCCCCTACTCTCCACGCTCCCTGCTGCCTGTACTTCCAGAGTTTCTCAGGGGTGGAGCCAGGCACTGACACTTCTTGGGAATCATGGCACTAATTCTTGGTATAGACTGAAGTCCAGTCTCAGTCCAGCTGGTGGTGGGTGGAGGGCAAATGCTCCTTCACGTTGGCAGATGAGCATAGTGACTAAGAAGACAGACTGGGGAGTCCTAGTGCCTGGGCTGGAATCCCAGTCTCACCTGTGTGCCCTTGGGTGAGTTACTTAACCTGTCTCAGCCTCAGTTTCTGATCTATATAATTAGGAGATACCAGCAGGTTGTTTCGTGCATCTAATGAGTGAATATCAGGAAAGTGCTCAGAGTGCTGCCTGGCTGGATAAGAGCTATGCTGGGGCTGGTCTATGTGTTTTAGTGGCCCTTCTATTGCTCCTGGTCTTCCGCCTAAAGCTCAGGAGGGTCTCCCTTCGAAATGTTGTTGCTCCTGCCTCCGACTTGATCTCCCACCAGCCATCACACCTGGCCTGCCTCCCACGTGCCTGAGTGTGTCATCCCCTATGACAGGAGCTGAAAGGTTTGTAGGAGATGAGTGGTTTCAAAGTGCACATCTCACCTTTATTAAAATACCTGGGTCCCATCATGACAGACAAGTCTCCTGCTCAAAATTAATAATCATCATCATAATAATAATACACGCTGTGCTCCCCCAAGACTGTCTCCACAGCCTTCTTAGCACCTGTTGACAAGCCATGCATCAGCGATCCCTAGAGGCCCACCTACTCTGACAGCTTGAAGCAGCAGTAATGGCAGCACACCACATGCCAGCTGCTTCATACGCCGCACCTCATCTCAGGTTTACAACCAGCCTGTGAGGGAGGCACCACTAATCCCACCAGACCAAGAAGCAGCAGAGGCTCCGAGAGCTTGGGCCACTTGCCTAAGTGGCCAAGTCTGCTGAGACCCAAAGTAGTTGTGGAAGTCTTCCCCATGTTTTTTATCAATTATTCTAACCTTCTCACCATGAAGCTTAAGCCTTTCAGAGGATGAGGAAAACCCACATTTCCCCGCTTGTTCCCCAACCAAGGCTAAAACCAGAAAGCTTCACTTGCTTAAACAAATTCCAACAGCCCCCAGCACTCAGAGGAGACAAGGTGGCTGCCATCTGAAGCTACCCAGCAGCACAGGCCCAGCCTGGCTTTGTTATCAACTGAGGTGAGACAGTGGCAAGCAAGGTGTTTGTATATCATATCCCACGATAAGGCATTGCAGTGTGCAGCACTTGCCACGTCACAAAGCCCTCGAAAACTTCCCACACCATTTGCTCCTCACCATAGCCCTGTACAGGGGCGCTGGTTAGTATTGTTCACACATTGCACATGAAGAAGCCGAGGATACAAGGGTGAAATAACTTCCCCCCAAAGAACCAAAGTAAGGGTCGCAGCTTAGATTCAAACTTGAGGTTGCCCACACGAATCCACACATCTCCCCATTCCCTGTGGCTGTCTCTACTTTTGCATTTCTGCCTTTCAAGTGTGTTTGCTGGCTCAGGGAAATGATATGATGTGGTCTCAGCTTGACAGAAGGATTCGCCAGTGTAATTGTTCTAGGTGCTAATGGCTTTTTACTTTTCATTGCACAAACAACATTATAACAACGTTAACGGGAGTCTAAGGAAAGAAAAATTCACCAGGAAGCCTGCCACCCATAATAAATCAAGTTTCGCTCTTTCTACAATTCCTTTACAGTCCTTGCTCACGTGCAGATATACTTCCAACAGCATAGATACACTTCCATATCGTGCCTCTGTATGCTATACTTTAAAAAAATGTTTTTAAAATATTTTTATTGGGGAACAGTATGTGTTTCCAGGACCCATCAGCTCCAAGTCAAGTAGTCGTTTCAATCTATAATAGTTGTGGAGGGCGCATCTCAGTGGCCCATGTGGGGATCGAACTGGCAACCTTGGTGTTATGAGCACTGTGCTCTAACCAACTGAGCCAACTGGCTGCCCCTGTATGTTATACTTTATTATAAGCATTGTCCATGTTGCTCTTTTGCGGTTCCACCATACTTCAGTGAGGTTGGATACATGAATTACTTAGCCATTCCCCTGTTATCTGACACTCGGATGGCCGTTGTGTTTCCTTATACCCACTTTTTGCTTGCTTCTAGTTCTGGGCCAGGGACTGTGGGAGTATCAAGATTGGCCTCAAGCCCCAAGGCCCGTGCCTCTACCTCCAACACATGTCTCAGTGTGGGAGGTGAGGAGCACCGGGAAATATTTTGTTTGGGGCTCTAGACTTTCACCTTCTTCCATACCATCCAATGGGCTCATTAAGTTGGATTAGGAAATACGTCTTTGGGAGGAAGGTCCCCAGGGGATAGGGGCCACTCGACTCCCTTCTAAGTGTCTGTCATTTTAGCGTCCATCACACATTAATCAAGATGAGAATTCAATAAGCTTGTGAATATGATAGGGTCAGGTCAACTAGGAAATGCCTTGCAAATGCAATGAGGTGATTTCTTCATTTTATTTAGGCACAGAGATGAGAACAGGGGACTCATTTTCATCTTAAAACACAGGCTACTGTGCTCACAGTGCTGGTGTGGCTGCTTGGGGAGGGCGGTGGGAAAGCAGCATGATACCCCGTCTCCTTGCACTTGAAGCCCCTCCGAACACCTGGTTTAGGCTTAAATTCAGGAACCCCTCCACTTGCTTGCTAGCTCAGGAATCCTCAGCTCCAGCTTCTGGACCCAACACAGAGCCGCCTGTGAGTTCAATCATTCCAGCAACACAAACATACCACCAAAGGGATATACGATGGGACTTCTACAAAGCTGGGAATTGCAGCCCCGGTTACTATAGAGATTTGCTAGCCCTTCCAGAACAGAGCCACGGAGCCCTCCTTTCAGCACACCTGGTCTCCAGGGTTACTAACTCCCACCACAGATACAAAGATACTGAGAAGCACATGGCATGGTGCAATAGGCACAAACTTGACATTCAGGCAGACTTGGGCTCAGATCCAGGCCCCTAGCTGCCTGGTTATCAGACCATGGGGCAGCTCTCCCCATGAGTCTCAGTTTTCTCATCTGTAAAATGGCACCAACAATCCCTGCTCGGAGGTTGTTTTGAGGGTTAAGTAAAGTTGTGGCTGGAAAGTGCTGGCAGACAATAGGTGTGTCATACTGGTTCCCCTTCCCTCCTCTATGGGACACTAGTTCAAATAGATGGCTCCTGTATGCACCGCTATGCACATGCTGTGTAGTCAGGGTGGCACGAGCACGTATGCCCCCGCACACACACACAGATTCACAGGGTCACAGGGCTACACCTACTCAAGAGGTATAAGGGGGTGTGAAAGGTGGGGAGAGATCAATCCAAACTTATGAACCCGGCAGACAAGGCTTTCCAGCATCAAAACAACCTGTGTTCTAAGGACTACCTCACTGCTACCCCACCCCACCCCCACCCGCACCCACTTTGCAGCTGTACTGGCTGCTGGGAGCAGCTCAGTTGGCTGCTCCCTGTGGTCCCCCAAACATGCTGGGCTCACTTCTGCTTCCAGTCTCAGGGCAAAGCCCATGGTGCTCCCCCATCTGCCATCATAATCACTCTTCTTTCACTTGAAAATCAATTTCAACTTTCTAAAAGCTTTCCTAGCCATCTCACACCACATCTTCCTAACCACCCTTTTTATAGCCCAAGGATGGAGGTAGCAGAGGTGAATGACTTACCTAAGATCACCCTG